TTTGTTTGTTTGTTTGTTTTGTTTTAAGCAGAAGGAATAGATTTTCTTTTTAAGAAGTATATGGATGCAGAGAAAGGGGAAACCTTATGTACTATTAGTGGGACCATAAATTAGTGCAGCCATTATGGAAAACAGGATGGAGGTTCCTCAAACAACTACAGATAGAACAGCCATATGACCCAGCAATCCCACTCCTAGGTATATACACAAGGGAACGGAAAGCATCATGTTGAAGAGATACCTGCACTCCTGTGTTTATAGCAGCTCTATTTACAGTAGCCAAGATATGGAAGCAACCTAAATGTCCATCAACAGATGACTGGACAAGGAAAATGTGGTATATATACACAATGGAATACTACTCAGCTATGAAAAATAGTGAAATTCTGCCATTTGCTGCAACATTGATGAGCTTGGAGAAAATTAGGTAAAGTGAAATAAGCCAGATGCAGAGAGATTGTATGTCCTTACTCATAAATGGGAGCTAAGGAAGGAAGGAAAAAATGAAGGAGAGAAGGAAAGAGTAATATGTTGAACTTCTAGAAGGAGAGAACAGAGTTGCAGTCGCTAGAGATAGGAAAGGGTAGGAAGGTTAGTGAGCAATTGGTTAATGGACACAGGGAATGATTATGTTTTGTAACAATGAACATGCTAACTGTCCTGATCTGGTCATCGTGCATTACACACAGGTAGTGTTATTCAACTCTGTACCCCACTAATATGTGTAATCAACTATGTTTCAATCAAAAAAAGTATATAATTCAGGATATTAATAATAAAGGACAACTCAGACTTTTAAAAAATTTACTCAATACAGAAGGGCCTTTTAAGGGGGGAAGTATTTTCTCTCTCTGTGGAGAAAGGTGGAGGGCAGCTAGGTTTGCCCTGCCACACTGTCCCTCTCTTTTCTTGGATTCTTTTTTTTTTTTTTTATCTTCATTGTTACAATCCTCAAACTCTTACTCTTTTGCTACTCCGTATCTTACCAGTCCCTCAGAGTCCAGCTCAAGAACCATTTTTTCAGTAGGTGGTCCCTAAACATTCCCAGCTACCAAGTCCTCTTTTCTGTTCTGAACTTCCAGAACTTTCCAACTGGACAATTCACAACTGGCTTGTGGTATGTCTTCTGTCCCCAGAGGAACAGAGACCGTTATGTATTTTTGTTCCATTGCTGTCAGTGCCTAACCTAGAGCTGGTTGACTCACAGGTAGTGCATAGAAGAATACCCTACGTAACTAAACTGCAAAAGGGAGAACTGGGAATTCAAGAGGAAGTAAGAACCTAGAGTGGAGACTAGGAGAGATGTTCCTGACAGGGGAGTATAAGCAAATGACACTTGTTATTGCTTAATCCTGCACAATTAACACTCATGCAGGGAAAATATGGTTTGCAGGACTGCAGTGTGATCATAACATATCCCAGGAAATCATGTCGGATTTATTTGCAGGTGTGAAATTATAAACGATGCTATTTTCATAAATGGTATAATTAACCTAGATTTCCAGTAAGAGGTCTTTAAGGTTCTATAGCGTTCTCTGTATTCATCTCCTCCAGCTTATATATTTACTTCTGAAATGGCAGGAGTGTCCTCCAACAGGTTTTCTTCATTAGTTTTTGACCTGCTCTAATTCTAAGCAAAGTGGTAAAAATATCAGAATCATGTTTGTTCATCTACAGCCATTTCATTTTGTTCTCTGTGTCTTAAAAATGTGTGTTGTAGGTTTTTGTCAATGTTTAATTTTGCTTCCAGTAAAAACACTCTCTATATTTGGCTTTGTTGTATTTGCCACTTAAGAATGCAGAATTTATTATTATGTGCTTAAAGCAATCATTTAACACTGACATTTTAAGTATGACAATAATCCAAGTAATTGTTACCCATTCAGTTAACTGAAAACATCTTTACTTCCTGAGACAACTAATTATAATGCAGTGTTACTATCTTTTAATTGTAGACATGTTTGTTTTTGTGTTTATTCTGGTTTAGGCTGTCTTCAAGGACATCCCTAGTCTCCAACTTGGCAATCTGCCGTTATTCTCTCTCTGCTGCCTTCTGAAAATAAATTAAAACACTGTGGCAGCAATCTCAAAGGAAAACGAGAGGATTTTTATTTTTCACAAGCTTTGCTCATGACTTCAGGATGCTAGATTATGAGCTATATTTAAAACAATCTGATCAATTGCTGTATAAATAGGGATTAATTTCTATGTGACTCTTCACCATTGGAGAAAGTGGGGTTGCCCTTTTGGCTTCATAAGACTTGAGTTCAAATTCCCACTATGGCTTTTACCTCTGATGAAGGGTCTGTTATGATTCTCTTTACACAGGTATTATTGCACTGTTCTTTCATTTTGAAAATCCCATAAATTCAGAAATTTTTAATTTCCTAATTTAGTATTAGATGTTTCCATTCAGAGCTAATTTAGAAGGCAGTCAAGTATTTTATTCACATTTTCACATCATACTACATCCTTTTTTTAGTACACTTTACTTCTAAATTACCTATTGAGGGTTTTTTAGTTCGGTTTTTTTTATCAGGTTGAACCTATTAATTAATGTCATAGTTTTGAGGAATAGCACAGGAAGTGTAATATTTCACATAATAACCAATTTTTACGATGTTTTTAAATGCATTTGTGTGTGCACATTGTCTGTGATGGCCTCCAGGCTGATGCAATCCCAGTGCTTCAAATCGCTTCTGAGCACATGTGAGCACACACGTGCACACATGTACACATGCACA